AATAAAGTCCCCTGGTTTGTCTCTAGAGTCTAACTGCCATGAGAAAAATCAGATCAATGTTCCACAATCCGCCATTAGATGTCGCTCATTGTACCGATACGGTTTATATATTACATACCTATTATTATTATTAGGGCCTGAGCACGAAGTGCAAAGACCTATTGTAATCGTCAGCAGTATTATTCTTATTTTAGCGGTTCTGCACTTTCGACCTGTTTTTGAGGGGCTTGCGACACTTCATGTAGCGACATTTGGCAACGCCGCCAGGACGGGTGAAAATGTTGACATTCTGGATTTGATGGGTGAAAAATGTCAAACTTGCTCTCTAGCGCCACCTGTGAACATTCAGTTTTTCGAACAAATGTACAAAGTCCCAGCGTAACTCTGACGGACCTGAAATTTTGCACACTTATCCGGGTGCAGCAGCTCTACATATTATCTCAAAATCCCCATCAAATTTTTTTTTTATTAGCATAATGTGAAAAACAGTGAAATATTAACTGAAATTCCAATTTCTTGATTTTCCACACCAAACTTAGTGCACAGCATCAGTGGAGGGTCAGACACATTACCGTACAAAATGAGCACGAGGTGTGGAAAAATGTGGCCGACATCAATCAAAACGTATTAGCAAAAGTGTGTGGCCTACACATAAATGCTCACAATTCATCCAAAATGTATCCAAATATCACAGATTTCGGTGGATAGGTTCAGTGTGTCTTGGGGAATAGGCACAACAAACAATGTTCATTTCGGACAATAGGGGGCGCCAAAAACACAACTAATTTATATCTCAAGAACCGATGGACTAAAAATATATATGTTGTCATAGACATACTGGCAGGGTGAGTATAAACTGAGATTTAAAGGGTCGCAACCAATGAAAAATGTGGGCGTGTCCTATTCAGTTTTTTCTCGAAATCGAAGGGTTAAAAAGTTTACCGAGCCATAAGTAGGGGGAAAAATGAGTTACAGCCTTTAAATTCAGAACGCATGTCACAGCCCACAACCTTTTCCAGACTGTAGAAAGAAATCATACGTTTTAGCAAATATGGCTCAACCCCTATTGTGCGGTAGTCAAATATAGTTTCTTTGAACTACCCGGAACTTGGCACAGAGATTCCTCATGGAAATGCGGACATATTTCAAAATGGCTTCCATTATCCCCGCCCCCTATTAAGTCGGCCATTTTGAAATATGTCCATTTTAAGCGCATTTTCGCATACTTCTCCTAGGAAAATTATCTGAAAAATTCCAAACCAGGACAAGATCAGCCCATATCCAATGTGATGCTAAATTGCGAATACATAATCGACTGCTCAAACGGGGAGCTCGTAAGCTAACAGAACATGTACCAATTTTGACGATTTAAATGCCACAAAATCGCTAAAATGACTTTCGGACGCAAAACTTGGAACACATGTCACAACCCACGTCTTTTTCCAGACTGTACAAAAAAAACGTACATTTTTGTACACCAGCTCAGTAGCGCCCCCTATTGTGCGATAGTCACATATAGTTTCTCCAAACTACCCCAATCTTGCCACAGACATTACTGATGGAATTGCGGACATATTTCAAAATAGCTTCCATTAGCCCCGCCCCCCAGAAAGTCAGCCATTTTGAAAAATCGGCGTTATTCATGCATTTTCAGCGCCTTTTCGCAAACACCTCCTCTGGAAAAGATCGGAAAAATTCCAGTCCAGGACAAGTTAAGCCCATATCCAATATCATGTTCAATTGCTAATAAAACAGTTGCTAGCTCAATCGGGGCGAACGTAAGCTAACAGAGAATGTACCATTTTTGACGATTTACATGTCTCAAATGACTCCAAACTACCCGCATATAGTTTTCCAGATATTCACGAAACGCTGTATACACATTGCTATTATGATGGCACACAAATTTACCAGCAACAGCTCTGCCTATTAATTTCCCACATGAACCATAAACACCCAATACATATAAAAGTCCAAAACAATGTATGGTGAAATGTTTTCCATCTTTGTTTTCTATCTACGACTACAAACAGTCTTTCCACTACAAGCAGAACAGTAACACATCTTTCTATGCAATACAATGGGCTAGTTGCACAAGATGGCGTCTACCAACTTCCGGCGGCTGGGTGTGCGGTTGTAAACTTCCGGTCTACAGTAGAGCGGTAGAGGGAAGAGCGATAGATAGCGTATAGATAGCGAGAGAGATAGCGTATATATATTATATAGGCACTATTTTACACTCGATGTCTCCAAGACCTACCGAAGGTTAACATCAGTGATGTACATCGGCTGGTACAAGCGGCAGGCTCAGCCCCTAGGAGCAAAAGAGAAAAGGGGTTCAAGATGTAGCTACATATCCAGCTACGTCGACAATTATGAAGGTAAGTGACAAACAAAGCTGTAGTTACTGGCTAACTTTGACAAATGTACAGTCTTGATACAGTGTCAAGCGTTTTAATGATGTACTATTACGTTTTTTTGGATAACATGAATGATATCCAATTCCCCACAGTTTCAAACAAAGATATACCTTCAGGGAGAGTGAGCATCAGGGCTAGCTGTTACAGGTCCATGAGAAAGCATGAAAAGCCTCACGATCTCAGAGTAGGGAGGAAAATAAAAAGTGTTAATCGGTTCAAAGCCTCAATCAGGTTCATGTTCTGGGGTTTTGATGTGGCAAGAGTAGGTAACCTGTGATTTAGGATTCAAATAAGCCCAGCTAGCTGACGTGTTGCAACAGATTACATAGTGACAATACATTTGCTCACATCAACTGGTAGCTAGCTACACTGAACAAAAATATAAACGCAACACTTTTGTTTTTGCTCCCATTTTTCATGAGATGAACTCAAAGTTCTAAAACATTTTCTATATACACAAAATAACCATTTCTCTCAAATATTGTTCACAAATCTGAAAAAATCTGTGATAGTGAGCACTTCTCCTTTGCCGAGATAATCCATCCCACCTCACAGGTGTCGAGGTGTGGCATATCAAGATGCTGATTAGACAGCATGATTATTGCACAGGTGTGCCTTAGGCTGGCCACAATAAAAGGACACTCTGAAACGTGCATTTTTGCTTTATTGGGGGTGTCCGAAAACCAGTCAGTATCTGGTGTGAGGGGTAGGGTTAGGGTAATGTTGTGAATCGAGTGGCCTGTGTTCGTCGTCGATAACATACGCCTGCCCATACCATAACCCCACCACCACCATGGGCCACTCGTTTCACAACATTACCCTAACCCTAACCCTAACAAGAACCAAGGTAAGTACAGTATGTGTTCACAACCAATCCACGATTTAATGAGTATTTCCTTTGTGCCAAGAGCTGATTTAGTATGTTGCATCAACGACCTTTTCAATTAAATTGACAATTCTTTTGTGTAATTAATAGGGTGTGAAACCAGGCAGAGTGAGTGACATGGTGTTCATTTCCACTATGCCAAAGCAGTTTACAGTTGCTGACGGTGTAAGGTAATATATATTGTCCTAAGTAATTGTATGTAGCCTGCTACAACTTTGTGATTGTTGTCTGAGTGTAAAATTGTTCTTAAAGTCCTAATTATCATATAAACATGTTCAAAGGAGTACACATTACAAGGCCGTGCGGGGGGAGCTGCCAGACCCAGATGTCCTCAAAGTCAGCGAGGTATACAAGGACTTCTCAGCAGACATCGCACCACGAAAAAAAAAACGAATGGCTCACTACTCAACTCAACGACTAACACTCTTTCAGAGGATATGTTGGAAATGCACACATTATATATATTTTTTGCATCTACTTTCTGGATATTGTACATCTGTTCATCTGTTATATAAACTAGCATTACTTAAATATGCAGACTAATTGAAATGTTTAAATATGTATTTTTCCCCCCGATATAACATCAACCTATGTTTTGTAAAAGTGTATTAAATTAATCTGTAAAATGTTATCATATTGTGGATTTATTAAATTATGTATTTTCCTTTGTTATTTATGTGTGCGTTTGTTTTGAGGATATAATTCATTAGTACCTAAACATAGTATGGTATAACTGCTTTTTGTAATGAAATACACAATTGGTTTGGGACCAAGAAATCTTGTAATCGTTGTTGCCCAGGCTTGCCGTAATGAATGGAAACTTATCTCCCGATTATAACATTGTGTAACTTGCTGCTGTTAAATACCGTCAAACTATGTGCAATATATACTTTATATACATATGCCATCTTTAATAACTGTAATATATATACCGGGCTGCTAAATCCTAAGAACTGCTACAGGATTTGATTTGTAGATTTGATTTGTTTTTTATCTGTATTTTTGAAAATTATGTAACTTTTTATCTTTTCTTTAGCATATTGTTTATTATATTATAACTTAGTACTTTTTTAGCATATTGTTTATTATATTTTAACTTAGTACTTTTTAACGCATGTAAGATATTCAACACTAAGCTGTCTGTGGCTCTTTCCTGCTGTAACGCTGCAAATTTCCCCTCTGTGGGACTAATAAAGGTATTCTGATTCTGATAACGGGACGAATGTGTACAAAGGGGCACACAGCAATGTAGTGCCGACTTTCTTACACGCTGGAAGGCCAATCGCTTTTCTTTACCCCGAAATCCGCTCATTCTTGCTCTCGGTGTGACAGAAACTGTCAAGCTGTCAAAGTTCTGTACTCAAACCGGAAGTACTCAGCCGCACACCCAGCCGCCGGAAGTTGATAGACCCCATCTTGTGCACAGAGCCTACAGAACACATAATTTAAACCAGCAGGATGTAAACAGAGGAGAACAGCTGGTCTGATTTAGTGTCATGTGATTATCCTGTAATGAGTAACATACACGGTGTTGATCAGCTATATAAACAGTTCATTTATTGTCTCGATACATGTGTTGTGTAAGACATTTGAATCAATTTGATACGTCAATATTAAATGTACCTTTATTTTGAAAAACTTTATTGTGAAGGACAAACCGGATGTCACATTTCCGGTATTTCCGGTAGCTTGCCTTGGCTGTATGTGTGCGCGGAGGTTTTGTCGTCAACAGACTCATTAAACTACCCACTTCTCGGTACATAGAAACCCTGCTCCACTTTGTCAAACGTGAGTAATATAGCAATTGGTGTGTTATACTGAAATGTGTTGACGTTGTATGCTTTTCATTGGAACACGCGGTGGGTGTGTGCATTGCTAATGCTAGTTAAGCTAATGAAGCATGTCCATGCTACCTCATGCAGATAGCAATGCCATTGAAGACCAGTTTAGTCCAGACAAAGAGGAAGGTAAGCTATGTTAGCCTAGCGCATAGTACCTATCGCCACTTGTTTTGATGTACGTTTTTGTTGATAACCTCGCGAGTTTGTATCTTTCAGTGTTGAGGTGGGCACCGTTAGATGCTGTGTCTTTACGGTCATAAACAATGTGTTGGATGTGGAGCTAGGATAAGTAATAAGGGAGCTAGGAGTGATTTTCGGTGCAGTAATAGGTTAGCATTTTTCGCTCTGGGCTAATTCAGAGGCTCACTGTTAGCATTGTGTGTTTTTTTTGAAAAAATAAATGAAAAAGATCAGTTAAATGAGTTTTTTCCCGTTCTATGGATATAAAATATTCATAGTTTATTAAATATTAAGGTTCCTTAGACGTTGTTTCCTGCAAATGACGCGATTTCGGGTCCGTGGGGACTAAGAGGATAACAGAGTATGTTTTATTTTTTTTCACAACAGTTGTATTTGGATGGAATGAATACCTATATTGATAATTCAAAGTAATAAAATGATTTTTACAGTGAAAACGTTCAAATGGAACTGATGGTTCCCAAATTACCCAGAGGTGAGTCCGCCTGGACTTTATTTTTCTAAACCTCTATAAAAAGGTCAAATTTAACTTGTTTTGCATCAATCTTGATACAGGGTACTTATTATATGTTATAGTTTGGATTCCTAAAGCTTTTAGTCTACTAACCCATCATTCAAGGGTGGTTTTCACTATAAGTAATGGTTTTTTTTAGGCGGACATTAGAATTTACATGTTTTTACTATGTTCCATCTGAATTTACTTTAAAATAAAAACATCTATATTGTACGGTGGCCCTGAAGTGCAAGACACCACAGCATTTCACAAAACACAACAGAATTTCACAAAACACAACAGCATTTCAGAAAACACAACAGCATTTCACAAAACACAACAGCATTTCACAAAACGCCACAGCATTTCACAAAACACAACAGCATTTCACAAAACGCCGCAGCATTTCAGAAAACACCACAGCATTTCACAAAACACAGCAGCATTTCAGAAAACACCACAGCATTTCACATTGGACGGAAAGGGTATTCCTTAGGGAGAACACTTATTGTTTGTGATTGGACAGAGCCAGCCAGAGAAGCACTGCTGTGATTGGTTGTTTTTGCTGCCAATCAAGAAATGACTTTGTGATTGGCCCAACACATCAGCCGTTAGCTGTTAGCACACACTCAGAGCTCACAGCTCCTCATATCTGTTCAGAAACTGGACAAAAGTTAAAGATATGCAAAACACAGACTGTCTATGTCATGGCGAATACAGTCGCTGCTTTATTTATGTCTGTATGATGTTGTTGTGAGTGTGGACGGAGCAGCTACAGGTTAGTTTAGCCTGATCGATCCGATTCCGATAGGATTTACATGGAGATACGCCCCGCCCCCTCTCCAGTGTCTTTTTTGAATGACAGGAGTAAACACAGAATTAATGCTTTATTAATTCATGGTTTTTAAGGGGCTTATCTCCATGTAAATACTATGGTAGACTACCCAATATTCGCATCGCTCTAATCGCTCGAGTTTCACCGCAGCTGTCAGCTGTGTTTGCTCCTGTCATTCAAACAAGACGCGCTGGAGAGGGGGCGGGAAGTTTCTCCATGTAAATCCTATGGGAGATACCAACTACAACAAAATGAACATATTTGACCGTGATTTAATTGTAATACACGTTTCAAAGTGATGCCGAAGTAACTACATACTGATAACGGTTAGTAAAAACTATGAATTAATGCTTTGACAAGTCTGCAGACAAGAAGGCAGGTGAAAAGCTTTTAAAATGCGTGTTTTCAGAATGGAATCGGATCCATCAGGCTAAACTAACCTGTAGCTGCTCCGTCCACACTCACAACAACGTCATACAGACATAAATAAAGCAGCGACTGTATTCGCCATGACATAGACAGTCTGTGGTTTGTACATGTTTAACTTTTGTCCAGTTTCTGAACAGATATGAGGAACTGTGAGCTCTGAGTGTGTGCTAACGGCTGATGTGTTGGGAGGGACCGGTTGAGACATATTGCGCTGTCGGACGTTGACCAATCACGAAGCGTCATTTCTTCACTGGCAGCAAAAACAACCAATCACAGCAGTGCTTCTCTGGCTGGCTCTGTCCAATCATAAACAAGAAGTGTTCTCCCTAAAGGAATACCCTTTCTGTCCAATGTGAAATGCTGTGGTGTTTTCTGAAATGCTGCAGCGTTTTCTGAAATGCTGTTGTGTTTTGTGAAATACTGTGGCGTTTTGTGAAATGCTGTGGCGTTTTCTGAAATGCTGTCGTGTTTTCTGAAATGCTGTAGCGTTTTGTGAAATGCTGTGGCGTTTTGTGAAATGCTGTTGTGTTTTCATTTTAAGTCATACGCTAATATTAACCAATACACAGCTTCAATCATTACTTTACTTACCTTGACCACATAACAGCTGTATTGAAGGTTTGCTTTTTGATCAATAAACACAACAACAAAAAGCAAACTCCACTGGTACATGGCCTAATATCCAGAGGAGATGCGTTTATCGAGTAAACAAACGGTCAAGGGCAGAACGTCTGCACAACCCACTGCACCGCACGCCACGGTTAAGGCTCCTCCAGACAGCCTCCGCGATAATCGATCGTTGACGAGCCTTTACAGAAATGTGTTTTCCTTCCAGGCGGCGAGCCCACATACGTTTCCCGGCCGCTGCCGGAAGACCTGGGAGTCCGGGACCCGAACGTTTGAGAAATTACGAACGGCTCATTTCGAAGGACACGCGCGCATCTGCTTGACGCCGGGACGATCGGCGACCCTCCCCTACAGGCGCTCGGACGCGAAGGCCCGCCCACAACTGCGTGCACGTCTGTGACCGCAGTTTTAATTATTATTATTATTACAGTAAAAGGGCTCGCTTTGGCAAAAGCGTGATCCATACAGGCAGCCCTAAATAATAACAGGTAACCATCATGTGTGGTGCTATCTGTAGTTGTCTGTCTTATTTGTTGTTGATTTCATATTGTTTTCACAGTGCTGTAAAATGAATTTCCCCCTGGGTACAATACATCTAATCTAAACTAATTTAATATTCAATCCCACACTTGGCCATTGAGAACATCAATTCGTAACTTACCTCGTATAAAGCACTTTTGTTGTAATACTCTGGATTTAGTTGTCACTACTAGCCGAGTTTCTTTTGTCCTATATTTCGCGGGCAGTTACATTGAATTAGAAGTAGAAGAAGAAAAAGCAGAAGTAGAGTTAGAAGAAGAAGTAGTAGAAGAAGAAATACGCTAACGCTACAAAAAGGCACAACACTGTTACTCTGTTTTTACTGACATGTAACATTTTATATCACCTTGCTCTATGTTTTTTAACGCACGTTCAAAAACGGAAGCATTTTCAGGAGTTTCATCCGGCCACCGAAAACGGGGACTTTGCCCGGAAAACAGGGACGTTTTGGTCACCCATCCGACTGTGTTTACAGCTAAGCACACACGCTAACATTAAGACTACAATCTCACTTGGGGTTGAGGCTTTTTTACTCGTTGCTTGACTGCCTGCCCACATATCTGATCTAAACATAGTAATATAACGTGTATTGGGGAAAATAATTATTTAAAGTTATTTTATAATTGTGACATTTATTGTACTTTTTGATGGATGAATGATGCTCAAAGCGAGGGGGCAAAGAATACAACTGAGGGGGAAATGCCCCCTCGTGGTGCCGGGCCTGACGTGAGGTTGGCTTCATTCTCCCATTATCCTCCACAATCTGCCTAGAAGTATTTTAATGTTGTAGCTGGTCAAGATGGTCATTTTAAAATGTTTTAAAAATATACTGTTAGTAGTTAAACCAATAATAATGCTAGGGCTGCAATTGACAGTTATGTAGGCACATTTGAATTTTTTCTTAATGAGGGACCTCTGCAGCCAACATAGAGTGGCCGTTTCTCAATGTCGAGTAAACCTGCTGCAGAGCCACTATTTCAAGTATACTACGTCATCGGGTGGCGCCGAACGCTGGGCATTTAACATGCATTTAAACACTCCTTCGGCGCCACTCGATGACGTAGTATACTTGAAATAGTGGCTCTGCAGCAGGTTTACTCGACATTGAGAAACGGCCTCTCACTCCCTGATCGTCCAATAGCGACGCTTGGTCAGGGTCCTTTGGCGTGCAGTTGTGACGCGCCGAGTCTCCTTCAGCTTCATAAATGGACGCAAAGAGCTTTTCAACTGATTGCAATGTATTTCCATCGGCACCGGCAGGGGCGTCGCCTGGACCTGAAAACATTCGGGGCTTAGCCCACAGTGGCGGCGGCCGCGGCGCTACAGTGGAATTTTCTACTGCAACACTTTCCACACGCACACACAGTACACCCGCGACTGTTACAATGAAGGCTCGATAATCAGCTCACGGCATATAGGCAGGGGTAAAGTGCTATTTTTACGAGTAGGGGGCGGACCTCACCTCCTCTAGGGGGGTCCTCACCTCCTCTAGCGGGGTCCGGGGGGATGCTCCCCCAGGAAGATTTTTTTTAAATATTGAAGTTAAAAGCATCAATCTGGTGCACTTTGAGAGCAACATTAAGAGATTATAGCTAGTAAACATGGAGTAACCACACTAAGTATACCCTTATATGTTAGTATGTATACATAACATGAATAAAATTATCCTAAGATGTAACGTTAACCCTTCATACCTCAGTCTACTTTTAAGACACTAAAATAACGTATTCCAATTTTTATTTGTTTTCGTGCGTGGAATTATACCGGCTCTCGTTTCAGTACACATAACAACGGAACCATAGCAACGGAACTGACAGACAACGGA